CCTGAAAGGTACAGGCTCCTCAACTTGACTCTTTGGCTCCAATGAGGAAGGTATGGGACAAACTGCTTGTGGGTGCTGGTTGGGCCAGAGTGTATTGGGAGGTTCCAAGGGGTATGCTGAGGAGGAGCCCATGTACAAAGTGCCCTGCAGGTCTAGGGGACCATCCCATGTCCAGGCAAGAATATATTAAAGAGTGTGCATGCTCCCCCACTATTTGGTTAGCTGGAGGGCATGCAGCCCAGCATGCAACTCTCGTTGCACAACACAAATCTGGGAGCCTAAGAAGCAGATCACTAAGTGCTGTCCCTGTCATGGGCGAAAGGGGAGTAAGTCACATATTCTCCATATTTGGAAGTACCAGGTATATCTCTTTACTCCTGTTGGCCAAATGGATCGGTTTGAAGGTACGTATGTCCTACTGGGAAAGACGGCAATTAAGTGACCTTGTTTTTTTGCCCGGCTTGGGCAAAGTATAGGTTCGCTTTAAGTGAACTTATACTATGATCCAAAAACTAACAATACAACATAACATTTTACACTGATCTGTTTCAGTGAAATGTAGTGTTCAACCACATCTCTGGTCAGGAGGCAAAATCCAATGAAAATCCATATTTTATTAAATAATAAAATGTACAGGAGATTAAAGAGCAAGAACAGGATATACAAAAGACGAAAGTGCCAGCACAATTGAAAAAGTTCAGTAGTAGGTTTATCAAACATGATACAAAAGTGGGTAGCCAACCCTATACAGGGGCTCAAAACTACTCCTTCATCAGGGTTTTATGTAGCGATGGGTTCAAGGACACAAAAATGTGGAGTATCGCATAACACAAGGCACATATGTAAAAGTGTCCCTTCTTTCTGAGCTGACCCAATATGGCTTCTCCTTGCAACTCTGCTCAATGTATCAGGACTACCACCTCTTTACAGTACGCTGAACATTACCGGTGTAGATGCATGGGTCATAGATGGGAACCTCCTGAAAGGAGACCAGTTGTGACCCCTCCTTCTACACCAGTAGATTACTCAACTCTCTTGTGTTTTGTTTGACCATTATTCATTCTATTAGTTTGAGTTTCAAAATATACTGGGCATATACTGACCAATTCTTTTTTTTTTTTACTTTTACAAATTAGGGATGAACATAACCGCAACTTTCTCATGATTACTCAGAACCAGCAGTCTACAAACCATGTCTACAACAAGAGCCAAAGTATGCAGTGAATGTGTTTTTGTGTTTGGTCTCGTCATCTCCACTATCAGGAAAGACAATGTCCGGAAGCAAAGATTTATTTGGACCTCTGACCTCAGATTGTTTAATCCTCACCATACAGAGTGATTTGTTGTTGTTGACTGTTGGCTTTCATTGTCTTCTGAGCCACTAAGTTTATTTCTGGTGTGAATAATTGAACCTGCTGGAATGCCTGTAAAAAAACAAAACAAAATCTGTGAGATATTACTTAAAGGCAGCATGTCAAGCTCGAAATAAGAGTGCGGTCATTGCAGGCTCTGCGATTGCCATTCTAAATGTAAATTATAGAGCAGGGGCGGACTGACAACTCATGGGGCCCCCGGGCAATAGGGGATCATGGGGCCCCTGTATCCTTGCCCAAACTCAAAAAAGCCTATGAAAAAGGTACCAGGGGCATCTCATGGGGCCCCCTACTGACCCCGGGCCCTCGAGCAGTGCCCGAGTTTCCAAATGGTCAGTCCACCCCTGTTATAGAGCATTAGTTCACCCAAAATTGATAGTTCAGATTTTGATAGATGCCAGAGATCTACAGCACCTACAGTCTCTTATATCTCTAGGTAGGGATGACCTTGTGTTGGTTCTGAACATGTTCGGGTCTAAACCTGGTAGCTAGCTGTAATTTCTGGGCCAGTGACCAGCAGGCGGGGGATTCTCAGCTGAGATACACATAGGGCTACTTGTGACATTATTGCCCTAATATGTCCACATGGCCAAATTCAGTCAATGTCATTGACCTAATATGGCCATGTGGCTAAATTAGGTCGAAAATGTAATGAGCATCTCCTTCCCTTTGTGTATTTCAGTTGCAGAGTAGGGACTCTAAAAAATTACAGATGACTTCCAGATTTGGTCCTGTACCTGTTGGCAAACACAAACCCACCCCTATCTCTGGGGGACTATTGGTGAGAATGTAACAAGAGTAGCGAGGACACTGAAAGGTGAGCAGGAAAGCCCAAAACTTTCAGACTGAATTTCAAATGCCCTGCTTTACTTCTCTTAAACCAATGGAAGTAGTCAATCTCTTGGATGGGTTGAATACCTGTTTTTCCTGCCACATCCAGTGGTTCCTCGCCAGCTCATACATCCTGTAGTGACATATGAGCCAGCAGGAGGAACCACAATGTGTGGTGAGGGAGCAGTTTTCCCACATGTCCACATGTGAAAGGAAAGTATATTGTCTTTTTGTTAGTAGGGCTTGAGGTACAATGTACACCCTGTGCTGACAGGGTCGCTTTAAAGCATGGGTGCTCAACCTGTGACCCTCCAGCTGTTGCAAGACTACAAGTCCTATCATGCCTCAGCCTTTAGAAGTCATGCTTGTAATGTTCAGCCTTGCAAAGCCTCATGGGACTTGTAGTTCCACAACAGCTGGAGGGCCACAGGTTGAGCACCCATGCAAGAGCACCTATGGTCAATAATCCACTTTTGTGTTCATATTCTTCATTTTCTTGTTTGAATTAATAGGCCCCCATATTGATATAACCAGCAAATATGGCTGCATTGGTATATATATATTTATTTATTTCAGGAAACTGGAGTACCTGGAGAACACCCACGCAGGCACAGGGAGAACATGCAAACTACAGGCAGGTGGTGCCGTGGCTGGGATTCGAACCAACAACCCTAGTATTGCTAGGCGGAAGTGCTAACCATTTAACCACAGTGCTGTGTATGTATGTATGTATGTATATATATATATATATATATATTAGGTACGTTCTGTCTCCAGCAGTGAAATTAAGCCTGCAATATTATATGTGGCCACTTGCTAGAGCCCAGGATAAATTTACTATTTTGCAGAAACCAGAATCTACTTAGGTAATAAAAGCTCCCATAATTCTTCATTCTAAGAAAAGGAAACAGGTGCATCCTGGGAGCTCAGCCTCCATTTTAAGAATGGAGGGGAAGGAACCAGCCATAATTCTCTGTAGCACTGTAGTGTGTTGTGGATTGAAATTACATCCCCTACAGGCAGCATTGCTGGTGAGCATGGACCTATTGCTATCTACAGCCTAATCGTTTCAATGTGTTTATATATTTCATGTATTGATTATTATTATTATACAGGATTTATATATAGCGCCAACAGTTTGCTCAGCGCTTTACAATATAAATTATATGTACTTGTTATCTGTTTTTCCTAATAGTTTCACCCCTCCCTGTTTTGTTAATAAGGCTTCAAGATTACATTCAGTCTGGCTTATTTCAGAATAGGAGGGTTCTTGCCTCTTGCCCAATGGCCCCCTGTATTCATAAAAATGCCCCTGTATAGAAACCATAGACCCAAAGTTGATCCAGTGTTCCAGAAGAGGGCAAAAAAGCACCCTAACCCTTACTTCTGTCTGTGCTGCCATTAAAGATATTTCCGCTCACTTTCTGTCTTGGGGACAACCTTTTTGCCAGACAGTAAGTGAAGGAATCTCTTCAACATGGCCTCCAACTGCAGTAAAACCTGACCTGAGTGCTAATCCTTGTCCAAACTAGACAAAATTAGAACAAAATGTTGGCCATGGATACACTTTGTACATCTCATATTTGTTCTCTTTTGATCGTATAACTATATCATTACATGCTATTTATTATGCCTCTCCATTGCTGGCAGAAGACAACGGCTACTATCACATCAGGAACTATATGCTTCACAGGACTCAAGTTGCAATCTCTAGGTATAGGGACTTCTCTTTTAAGGCCATTTCTTCTACAATTTGGGTACTTATTGTATATCTATTCATAGCAGAGTATACTTTTTAATGATTCTCTGCGTTCCCTATTGTAGCGCTGGTGGTCCAGAGGGAGCTGATCAGTCAACGAGCCTTTTCTTCTCCCTCTTACAGCTGCTGTTGCAGTTAAATAGATGAAGCCTACTACTCATGACTGTATAATTTGTTAAACATTACTAATTGATTGTTTCTATTTTCCCGGAGTTCTGCTTTTGTGTGTTAACTGGGGTTGTATATCCTAAACCCTTTATTTCTGTGGCCTACTCTTTTGAACACGTTTAACCCCTTGCCTACCGGGCACTTTCACCCCCTTCCTGCCCAGGCCAATTTTCAGCTTTCAGCGCTGTCGCACTTTGAATGACAATTGCGCGGTCATGCAACACCCAAACAAAATTGTTATCATTTTTTGGAGACAGAGCTTTCTTTTGGTGGTATTTAATCACCTCTGGGTTTTTAATTTTTTGCTAAACAAACCAAAGACAACTGAAAAGTTTGAAAAAAAAAAGTTATTTTCTTAGTTTCTGTAAAATTTTGTAAATTAGTAATTTTTTCCTTCACTGATGTGCGCTAATGAGGCTTCAGTGATGGGCACTGATAGGCAGCACTGATGGGCACTGATGAGGAGGCACTGGTAGGTGGCACTGAGGGGCATTGACAAACATCACTGATGGGCACTGAAAGGCAGTACTCATATATGGCACTGATAGGCGGCACTGTCTGGCACTGATAGGCGGCACTGACTGGCACTGTTAGATGGCACTGACTGGAACTGTTAGGTGACACTGACGGGCACTGATAGGCGGCATTGACTGGCACTGATAGGCGGCACTGACTGGCACTTCAAGGTGGCACTGATTGGCAGCACTCATAGGTGGCACTGACTGGCACTGATAAGTGGCACTGACTGGCACTGATAGGCGGCACTGACTGGCACTTATAGGTGGCACTGATTGGCAGCACTCATAGGTGGCACTGACTGGCACTGATAAGTGGCACTGACTGGCACTGATAGGTGGCACTGAAAGGCAGCTCAGATGGGCACTGATATGTGGCATTGATGTGCACTGGTAGGCACTGATATGTGGCATTGATGTGTACTGATGGGTACTGACAGCTGGCATTGATGGGCACTGACAGCTGGCATTGATGGACACTGACAGCTGGCATTGATCGCCACTGACAGCTGGCATTGATCGCCACTGACAGGTGGCACTGATGGGGCTACACTGATCATCAGTGCCCTGATGATCAGTGTAGATGTCCCCTCTGAAGAATGCCGATTACCAGCTCTCCTCTCCTCACGAGCTGTCAGTGTGACAGCTCGTGAGAAGAGAAATGCTGATAACCGGCATTTCCCTATTTACATGTGATCAGCTGTGATTGGACACAGAACTCATCGGTTAGAGTGGGAGGACATCATATGACGTCCTCCCAGAACGACAGAACCGCCTTGCACCCGTCATTTTCTTATATGGTGGTGGCGGGAGGCGGTTAATATAAAGGTGTTACTAAAGAATTGTGTCTCTTGCATTATTATCCTATACTGTTGAAATATGCCGGAACCCAGAGTGTCAGGGGTTTCGAGAGGCTTTCAAGGTCAGGGCAACCACTGGAGACAAGCATTATCAAGTGGCCCCTGCAGGGGTAGCGCTACACCTGCAAGCTGCAACAGCATACATTTTTGTTTTGTTTAACCCTACCCGCGCCGCCAATCGCGGCCTCAGCTGTCAATCACCGGGTCCTGGCTGGTGATTACTCGCTGGCACCTGGTGATCGCTGAGTATCTCCAATGGGGGAGAGACCTGTATGTAAACAATACAGATCTCTCCTCTGTTGGCTCCTGAACACTGCTTTGGTATGGCTCTGCATAACACAGCCATACAAAACAGTGTGCTTACAGTGAAACACACACACAGCCCCCATAGTGAAACAGCACACTGTTAATCCTTTGATCGCCCCAGATGTTAACTCATTCATGTCCAGTGCCATTAGTACAATGTCAGTGCTTTTTATTAGCACTGATCACTGTATTGGATGTCAGTGACAGTTAGTGAGCCCCCCCCCCCCCAGTGTCAGAATTCCTGCCGCAGTCCCACTACAAGTCACTGATCGCCGCCATTACTAGTAGAAAAAAAAACTCCAGTATATATACTGCCATTTGTAGAAGCTATAACTTTCACGTAAACCAATTAATTTATACGTATTGGGCTTTTTTTTAATAGCAAAAAGTCAAAAATATTGTTAATTTCTCAAAATTGTCGGTCTTTTTTTATTTATAGCACAAAAAATAAAAAACGCACAGGTGATAAAATACCACCAAAAGAAAGCTCAATTCATGGGAAAAAAAAGATGTAAATTTCATTTGGGTGCAGCATTGCGTTAAAGTAACGCAGCACCGTAAAGCAAAAAATGGCCTGGTCAGGAAGAGGGGTAAATCCTCTGGAGGGCAAGTGGTTAAAGTGTTACTAGACCCCGGACCCTGCATTCACTATATCTGGGCTCCCTGGACCCTGCATTCACTATATCTGGTCTCCCCGGACCCTGCATTCACTATATCTGGTCTCCCCGGACCCTGCATTCACTATATCCGGTCTCCCCGGACCCTGCATTCACTATATCCGGTCTCCCTGGACCCTGCATTCACTATATCTGGTCTCCCCGGACCCTGCATTCACTATATCCGGTCTCCCCAGACCCTGCATTCACTATATCCGGTCTCCCCGCACCCTGCATTCACTATATCTGGTCTCCCCGGATCCCGCATTCACTATATCTGGTCTCCCCGGACCCTGCATTCACTATATCCGATCTCCCCGGACCCTGCATTCACTATATCCGGTCTCCCCGGACCCTGCATTCACTATATCTGGTCTCCCCGGACCCTGCATTCACTATATCTGGTCTCCCAGGACCCTGCATTCACTATATCCGCCTTCCCAGACCCTGCATTAACTATATCTGGTCTCCCCCGGACCCTGCATTCACTATATCTGGTCTCCCACCGTACACACAACACGGAAATGTAATTATTTTAGTAAATATAAACTGATAAATATACAGTATACAGCAGTGTCGTGACTTCTATCAGTGTCCAGCCGAGCACATGTTAAAACTTGTAGGAGTAGTTTTAATTTTGCTCTATGAGGATGCAGAACCCCTGACTTCTGTCTGGACAGTGCTAATTGGCCCTGTGCTGATCACATGCACTCTCCCAAGAAAAAAAATCTCTGTATGAATACACACCAAACTGAGCGTGTGCAGAGTGTTCCCAAGGCTCTGTTCTATCAGCAGATGGATTGGAGACAGTAGAAGAAGGGGAGGATCAGAGAAGACAGGATCAAACTGCCTTTTTACACAATGCAGAGGATTAACCCCTTCCACAGTGAGTATAACAAGCATGATTTACTGCATCTACAGACTGATTTTACTGTTGTGGGTTTAGTAACACTTTAAATACTCTTTAAATACAGAAAAAAGTATGTATAGGTATGCTGGGATAAAAATTAAAAAAAAAAAAAAAACATTTCA